CCCCCCCCCTTCCCCTCTCCCTCCCTTCTCCCTCCCCAAATAACTAACCCCATCCCCAGCTTGACTCGGCCTTCCAACTCCAAGAACACCTCTCAGCCCTCCACTACCACCACTCCTCCTCTAACACCAGCCCCATAACCCGCACCACCGCCCTCCTCCTCGCCACCCCGCCCCCAGGAATCGACAAAACCCTCTGGCTCTACGAACTATGCCGCTTCCTCGTAGCCCACTGCAACAAACTCATCGTCCAGTTCCTCTTCGACACCCCGCCTTGTTCCGCCCAGACATGCCCAGAGATGCGCGCGTCAGAATGGCAGTTTCTGTGCGCGGTGCACGACGCGCCAAAGTCCTGCTGCGCGATTGATTACTGCTGCCACACGCTTGACTGGGCGGCCAATGTCGTCACCAACCCCAAGATCTTCCCCAGCAGGTTTGTGGTTGACAGTCACGACAAGAACCAAGCGGTGAAGAATCTGGTCAATGTCTTTAGACGGCTGCACAGGATTTTTGCCCATGGTTGGTTTCAGCACAGGCAGGTGTTTTGGAAGGTGGAGGGGGAGACGGGGCTGTATGTTTTTTTCAAGACGGTCTGTGATGTTTACGATCTTTTGCCGGCGGAGAACTACAAGCTGCCGCCCGAGGCGGAAGGGCTGCCGATTGCTGGGGAGGAAGAGGAAAAGACAGCAGGAGGGGGGAAGAGACAGGGCGGGATAACGATTGCGAAACCGCCTCCGAAGGTAGCGGAGCTGAGCGGGGAGGATCCGGGGTTGAGTAGGACCAATACCCGGAGACATATCAAGTCTAGCCCGTCCACGGGGAGCTTTATCATGCCTGTTCCTGAAGCGGACGAAGATGACAGCCCTGGGGGTCATGGGGAGCTTTCGAGGAGGTTGAGCGTGATGAGTATATCTTCGGGGGTGAGCGAGACGGGGACTGTGGTGGAGGCGGGACGACCGGAGGAGGAGGAAGAGGGGGGTCCGGAGGGGGAGATTCCGGTTATTGTGGAGGGGTTGAAGGAGCCGGTTAGGCCGGGGAGTGTTAATTCCCCTCCTAAAACGACAAAGGCGGAGGAGAAGAAACTCGAGGAAAATTTTGCGGACGAGCCGGAGAGCTATTCTGGTGTTAGTGCTACTGCGAAGGAGGTTTTGGCTTCACCGCCAGAGGAGGACAAGAAATTGGAGGGGGAGGAGAAAAAGGGAGATGATAAGGGGAAGGGTATCGAGGAGGGGCAGGGTGGCGCTAAGGATGCTCAAGAAGAAGAAGAAGAGGAGGAGGAGGAGACAGATGGGGAAGTTGATGACGTTACTGTCGTTGGTGGTGGGGCGGAGGAGGAGGTTGAGATTAAGGAAACCGCCCCTGCTGCGGCAACAGGATATGGTAAAGATAAGAAGAAGGAAGAAGAGGAGGACAAGCCGGTAAAGGAGCTGGATTAGGAGACTTACTCTGCAGGGAGCTACAAGAAGGAGAAGGAGAAGCCAGAGACGAAGGAGGAGAAGCCAGAGACGAAGGAGAAGAAGCCAAAGACGAGGCTGGACCAGAAGACCTATCTTCGGGGTTCTTCTGGGTCCTCTGGATCTTCTGGGTCTTATAAGCGGGGGGCCGGGGGGATAATGCGTCGCTGGAGTTCATAGATCCTGAGTCGGGGTTTATAAATACTAATCCTAGGTGAGGAAAGAAGGAGGTATAGCGTTGTTCTGTAGGAATGTTTTGGGGGTGGTTAAACACCCTTTGTAAGCGTAGATGAATATATCACAGTATTATCCTGTAAACAAGTTGTTGTTTGTTGTCTTTGATCTTTGTGAATTGCTGTTTTGATGAACAGCAATAGGCACATAGCGGAAAGCCCAAGAAAGCAGTTTTGTGTATCCAAATCCATTTGTAAACAGAAACAAGTACTCTACAAAGAAGCATAAAATTAAACACTAAACCCCTTCTCTGCCAAAAACCCATTTCTTTATTCCCAGGCTCACGATGTTTTTATATATACCAAACCCCCTATTAACACCCCCCCCCCTCCATTCCCATTCTAGTATCACCTATCCCTTCCCCCCGCCCTTGAGATACAAATCTACTCCCATGATCTGCCCCATCAGCTCCCACACACAACACACAACATACATGCAAAGACACCACTAACCCCCTTTTCTCAAGCCCATCCATACCCATGCTATGCTATGCTATGCACACACCAAAAACCTCCAGACTACAGTTACCGAAATCGTCGTCGTACTAATACATTGTATAGTCTCTCTCCCAACTTTTAGTTTCTTCCGCCCGCTCCGGAAAAAGAAAAAAAGAGAAAACCCAGGGTATCATTTCGCACTGTTTGGTTTGTCGCACTAGGTCTTCTTTTCGTACACACACACACGCACACACACGTACATTAGGAGTTTGTGTTGTCGGTTCCCTAAACTTCCATCCCTCTCTCTCTGTTGTTTTCCTGCCAGTCCTCGTTGATGATTATAACGCTGCCGCTGGTTCCGTCCCCATAATCCAACCACTTCAAATAGAAAAGAAAAAAAAATGAAACTTTCAGAAAATAAAAATTATGTGCTCACAAATGTCAAAAAATTTGGTGCTTGAAATAAAAAAAAAGTAAATAATACAATCCTTCCCCAGTCACTGGGGAGTATCTGAAGAGAAAAAAAAAGGGCAATGGAAGACAAAAGCCAGAAATAACAAGACAGCCAACCCAGGTGCAAAAACCCAAAGATATATATATCAGTAATACAAAAAGTCAAAGTGAAAAATATGTAAGTTGAAAGGTTGTATGTAGGCCAGAATTAGGTGAGGGCCAGCTGTTCTCGGGGGCTCGGAAGACATCGTCCCGTGATCGTGCCGTGTCGTGAGGGGAAGACACAAAAAAGTCTTGCATCCAGTCCTAGAGCGCCGAGGTTGACGCTTCTCGCCCGTCTTCCGATGGTAGTGACATCCTCCACTCCTATTCCCGCGTGACAGGTCCAGTCTCCCTTTCCCCCAAGACTGTCAAACCCAAGCCAAGACACCACCAGTTCGGATGATGATGCATCATGCAACAGCAGCCGCCGCTCCCTAGAAGGAATTGGCGCCCGCATGGCGCCAGCAGAGTCACAAGATCAGCATGCCATTTGAATGTACCCTGCCGATTCCGATTGCATGACAGGGTGTCGTTGGGGATCAGTTGGTGGTGTGTGGGGGAAAGAGGAAGTAGGAGAGCTGAGTAGGCACCATCATCACCTAACGCCGAGGGGGTGTTTCAGAATGGCAAATGCGGTGCCAGCTGTGATAAGCAATTTTTCCCTGCATTAGCAACGATATTCGACGTCGCAGACCCGCATGATCGGGTCCCAGGAAATTGTCCAGGGATTCGGGCCGCCCGGCAGACATGAGCCGCATCGTCCTTGAGCAACGTCAACTATTGTCGCGACGAGGTTGTTGCTGATACTCCAGTGTCCCCTCAATTTGCCGGCCGCCTGTCAGACCGTCCTGATTGAGCCGAACATAGGTTGCTGTCATGCCGCCATAACCGGGCCGTTAGTTTTCTGCCGCCTTTCTCGCGGCCTCTCTAATGTTCATCCTCGAAAACACATGGCGAATCTGCTGTACCGTGTCTCTCTGGGTAGTCGCCGCCATGGCATTGCGTTCGTCGGCATATGCGCGGATATTTTGTAGCAGGGGCGGAAAGCCCTCATCGTTCGGCAGCCACCATCTGGTGCAGGTGTCGTCTGCGAAAAGCTCGGCCATTCGCACACGCATCGTGGCAGGGAAAATGTATCTGTAATAGCCACAAAGTTAACGTCAGTCAAATACCCTCAGAGGCCAAAGAGAAGGGCTTACCCCATCGCCTCCAGTAACACAAACTTCCTCCTGATCCACATCTGATGGCGTGGATCCCGCTGAACATAGAGAGCTGCCACAGCTAAAGCTGACTGCAACGCAATGAGCCCCCCCGGCGGGCTGTGCGACCAGAATTCAACTGCCTCGAAGATCTGGTATATTTTGTAGGCATGCTCCCTCAATTTGTCTTTGGCTTCTCCTGTTGGTCTGATGCCACTCTGGCTGTCGTGCAAGAGGCTCATGGAATGGTAGCTGGCTGTCAAGACCGTCGAAGGGAACAGTGGTGGTTGAAACAGTGCTCCCGATGTGAACGGGTTGACAATGTCGTTCGGATCTGGTGCGCGGCTCCCTGAAAAGTCCGTAACAAGATGGGAAGGGTCCACCAGAGCAGGATCCCATCCATTTTTCCAGTCGTCGAGACATCTGCTCAATCTTTGATGTTCTGCGGCGAAGTCTTCTGCCGTGACCTCTTCCTTCACCCTCCTGGCATACAACATGGCCATTTCCATCGAAATAAGCTGCATCTTCGCAGAGCATGCTTCGAACTTCCAGAAGACACTGTCCGGTTCGGCGGCCGCGCACGAATCGTGGTATGTTGCTGCCTCCAAGTACCATTCACGAGGCAACGTCGTTTCAAAGCTACCCATGATGGCAACGAAGAGATCAAAGCGACCGTACCAAGTCAGTGCAGCCCGGCCTGTCTGTGACTGCATGATTGTCTGCGGAGTAAAAAGCTGCGTAAAGATCTCCAGGGCGGCCTTTTGATGGCCCATAAGGTTGACCCAGTCACCCAAATATTCCTGGTTGGTGTTTAGTTATCCTGGCTCACCCACGGTCGAGAGGAGCTTTACATACCTCGATTGTCGCGAGCTGCAATATCGTCAAAAGCGTCGCGATATTGTACTTTTCTTTCCTCTTTAGACACTCCAAAAGATTCTTGACGCTGTGGTTGTAATACTGCAAGAACTCGTTGATCCTGCCATGGGGATTATGCAGCGCATGGTGGTATGCCGAAAAGGCCACAATAGCATACAGCAAAGCCTCATTTCGAAGCGCCAACCCTACCAGAGTGGTTCGGAAGAAGTCACCGGCGTCGCTGATGAGCCCGTAGTGGTAGTGCGTGATATTGTCGTAGAAGTAGCCGAGATAAAACTGCAGCTCGTGTGGTAAGAACGTCCAGTCTGGACGGTGCGATTGTGCGGTCGCCGTGCCCGTCGACAAGGGCGAAGAGCTCTTATTACCATCAAAAGACGGGGTCTCTGAGTCGTACCGGTACCCTGTAGGGACACGCTGTAAACCAAAGGAGGATGTGGTGCTCGATCTTCTCAAAGGAAACATTGGCGCAGTCGTCGATGTGGCGCTCTGCGGCTCTTCCTCATCTTCATCCATGATCGGCTCCAGCTTTGAATCCCGGTCGTCGTCGTCATCGTCGTCGCCCCGTGAAGAGGTCGGGCTCGCCTGTTGACTGGGCGCAGTTGAAGAAGACTCTTTTGAGGTCGAACCCCCAGAACCTTTCGGCGGCGCCGGTTCTGGATAGAGGCATTCTCTCTTCCCCTTTCGGCATCCTGGAGCAAGTTAGCTACCGTGCTACTGCTAGACACATCTTTTCGCTACCCACTTTCACAGATCGGATGTGTTTCGTCACACTACAACCATGTTAGCCACCACATGTCACTTCCAATTGCTCTTCAGACCCACCTTGACTCGACGGCTGCGACATGTAAAGCAGCCTGATCTTGTGCGTCGATGTTTGATGTGATCGAGGCCTGGTGCCGACTTGCGCCTGCTTCTTTGCGACTTTGGCGCATTGAACATGATCGGCTCAGGGAATCCCGTAAAGTATCCCAGGCTTTGGTATGGGTTAGGCATTGGAGGGCCATGGCCTCCCATGGCCAACACCTGAGGTTGGTGAGACATCTGTGGGGGGCCTTCAAGTGGACTCTGGTTAGGCTGTCCACCCACACCCGCCATGGAGGATAGAAAGTGGTGATAATGATAGTCACCCATGATGACTGTTTGAGGACACGCGATGCGAACAGAATGTAAATGGTCGAGTATGTGTCGTGGTATCAGATGATTTCGGGAGTGGTGTACATGCGGACTCGGCTCAAGTTGTGTTTGGAATGCGCTTTCTGTTCGATGGCTCCGGTCTGAGGTGCGTCAAGTTTGTTGGTAAGGAGGAAGTCGAAGCGGGATGACGAGGTAGTCAACTGGCCGGCGGTAAACGAGTATGACCTTGACAGATGTATCTTTGGGAGACCGCCGTCGATGGTCAGGCACGTCTTGTGTGGGGAGAAGACCTGTGCCGAGCGGTCGAGGAAGAGGAGAAAGGAAATCAAATCCAACCGGAGTTGAAATGGTGGTCGGCGGGGGAGGGAAGGGGTGCCAAAGAAAAGAAGTTGAACTCTGGCCAATAGATGATAGTCGTGCTGTGCCCAGAGAATCCACGCAAACAAGAATAATAGCCTCTCCCCCGTCAATAGCCCTCTCTTGACCTTCTCCAAAGAAGCTAATCCCCGGGATATATAATGATAAGTTAAGCACGCCCAAGCGCCAAGGCAAGGCCGAGAATGGCAGGATGTGAGTCCAGGGTAGGGGGGGGGGTAGTAGGGGGGCAGGAGGAGAGCTGGGATGCCACCAGTTTGGGCTGAATGTCCGCACACAATGGAGGAGGAGATGCCAAACTGGACACGAGCGGCAATCTCTTCGCCAGACTGGGGGATCGGGTACCAGTGGGGATTGGTACTGGAACAACGGCTGACGGTGAGACCCCCTTCTCCGCTCAGTCAAGCTTTGGGGTGCCGGGAAACCAGGGTGTCTGGGTTTGATGGGGTTTGCTGGCTGGCAGAAGGTGATCTGCTGCTGGAGGGGGTGACGATTTCTTGGTTCAAGGGTGGGCGTGCATGTGGGTTCCCACTGTGACTGAGCAACCGCCGACAACAGAGCGCAGCCAGGATATCCACTGAGCTTCCCCAGACTCTGAAGAGGAGGAGGGTTGTTGGCGTCAACTTCAGGCGGGGGTAGCCGCGGGTAGCCCGTGGTGAGTACTGACTTGGTAGGAGGATGCGAATCCGTTTCGGGTAGCTGTGCCCTTCAAGACACTCTCTCCAGAGCAAGTCAAGGGGTGGCGAATAAGCAGTTGCACGATTCTTGTCTTGCTGCCAAGCGCACCTCGACTGGTCCAATGCAGAAGTCTGTTGTTCAAAACAAGGAGATGGACAGGGGGGGACTTGATGTGCAGGAGCCGGATGTGCAGAGTGTCCGGTCGGAGACCTTTTACTAGTCCTGGCCAGTAGGAGTTGCTGTCAGGAGACTGGGTGAGGGTGATGTACGTGTGACCGAGTCTCTCTTGGTAGAGGACCTGAGCCACATAAGCCGCGGCGGGAGAGGCCGAATATGACTCTGGAGAGCAGGATGCCGTCACAAGCGGATGGATGCAACGATGACCCTGTTGACGGGAGTGCTAAGGGGCTGAGGGAAACAGTGCGGCTCCGTTCAGGATCACGATCCAAGACGACGACGAGGAGGCCAATGTTACTGGTGAGGGCAGATCTGGGGAGATGTAAGGTATGGGCGGAAGCGCGCCTACTGGGTTCGATCTTATTAGTCGATCAGTTACTGGTATGGACAATCTCCAACGGTCATAGCCAGTCGTCCAGGGGGCAGTTGTCCAGGATCAGCCAGCCCGGCCCGGTCCAGAGAATGTGCGCGGGGGTGAAGGGGGGGGTGTCAGTTGTGGGTATAACCCTGCCACCCAGCCCGCGGCTTCTGCATCCATACTACCTAGGTAGGTAGCGGCCACAGGCTACCGGTAATCCATCCAGCCTCAAGCATAGTGCATGTCTGGATATCCTTGGTAAGCCTTCTCTGGACCTCACAGGAAGGTGCTCGAATACACAACACAATGGCCTGTTATCGCGAAATGGAATATTCAGCGCCAAGTTTTTGTTGATTGTGGTGATATATCTGTATCGGTATTTCCTTCCATCATGGAAGGACCCTCCCTATCCCCCGCAGGCCAGCTCTCCATATCCACCCAACATCGTGGTATGCTCCGCGATGACCGGTCATCAAGGTACCCGAGGACTGAGCCCCTAGCTAGCTGCAAAAGGATTGTGTCGTAGGGCCCGGCAGAAGACAGCAACAGCAGCGCAACAACCACAACAACACCACACTCCACAGAAAGCCAAACCCCTCCAGTGGGGTGTTGAAAGGGGCGGTTTAGCTCTTCAGCAGGGGGGTGGTTCGGTACAAAGTACTTGAAGCAGGGGTCCAAAGATACTTGTCGATACATGCTTAACGTTCTGATATTAAGGTCAAGGGAGTGCCGGGGGACATCCTAGCCCTCCCACCAGATTGCGAGGAAAGGACACAACATCTGGAAGATATTCTGTGGTTTGATCTTCGGCGGCTGCGTGGTTCAAGTGCAGCAAAGCCGCTCTCATCTTGTGCGGTTCATCTGATGTGGTGGTGGTCGTGCATCTCTTGGGTGGCGGCCCCCCCTGCGAGTGGGTGAACGACGAAGGAACCGTTCGACCTTCAGGGATGCTGCTGGTGCTACCTAGGCCTAGGCCAAAGCTGGGCCCCTTGCCAACATCCACCGCAACGCCATGGTACGTCAGTGGAGCCGAGCTGGCTGTGGGCGATGAGACTGCTTCGATCGTGCGAGCAGTCCCGATGCTGACAGTGAAGAATGGTTCTACAAGCTCACTGTGCATGTCCGTTGGAGCTAGGAACTGCAGGCCGTTCGGTACGGTTAGCACCTGCAGTAAACAGGCAGCTGTGGCCTGTTGCTGCTGTGAAGGGCGCCGATGCGCACGGCCCTGCGGCAAGGTGTCCCCGTTGCTCTTTCGAGGCCTTGAGCGTGGCAGCCATGGACAGCCTGGGAAATCGACAAGCAGCCATCCCATGCACGCTCGCAACAGTCGGGCCTGCACTCCCAGGGCTTGACCGGGGTCTGTGTCAACCGTCGTCCGTTGTGGAAAAAGGAGCAAGCCGATTGAACAGTGGCTTCTGTGGGCTCGAGCTATTCGTTCTTAGGTTAGGAGACTCTGTCAGGATGCGCCGATGCAGGAGGTCGCTGGTCTAACCGGCAGACCCCACGATCCGGAACCCTTACGGAGCTATCGGGGGTGCTAGCGTGGGCATGTGATAAAATCGGCCAACGACAGTGCCGACTCTCAACACCGAGGACGGGTGAGGGAGGTGACAGTGTGTCGAGGGACAAAAAAGAAGAGGTCCATGACTTGCTTCCGGGTTGGGCACGAGCCAACGGCTGCGAGAGCTCCAAGAAGCAAGTGGAAAAGGAGTTCACTGCCCAAAGTGGTATTATCGAGATCTGGATCCATGCAAGATGTGGGCGATAAGACCGCACCCACTCACCTATAGCTGCCCGGCTTGCCAATCCATGGGTCCTCCGCAGGAAGAGTGTTTTTCTGTGATATTAACTCACATGCCGTCATCCGCAGCCATTGATGCTGCGAGGGCGTCAGTAGTCACGAAGACAGGGTGTTGGTTGGTCGGATATGGTCCGTCTGGGTCTGGGTCAGGTCAGGCTCTTTCCTGGAGGTGATCAGGCATTGCATGAAAGATCCGACGGTGATTTACTGTCAGTTGAACAATCGACATAAAAGTTGAAAATCAACGGTAAGAAAGTGAAGAGTTTTCGGCCCCCAATTGGAGTAGACGCCAGAGAATGAAAGGGAAGGTTGCAGCGAACATGGAAAGAGCAGATCTGGCGGTCGAGGTGTCGTGCCACAGGGCCGCTGCTGGCAAGAGCGAGCCTGGCAGAGAACCTGGAAAGTGCATCCCACCCTACCTACCAGATTTCGACGATGGATGTCACTGTAAAAGAAAACCCCACGTGCATAAGCTGCTGTCAACAATTTTAACCGATTTAACCTTGCCCAATCAGGGAATCGTGCCAGCGAGGTGGAAATCGGAAAGTTCCAAGACACAAAAAGCAAGCAATTGTTCGTGTTTGATATGACATGTCTGGTGTTCTACCTGATAGTATGTCGACAGTTGACGTCAGGGCCTTCTCTATCACTTTTATCACCTAGGTAGCTTAGCTGCTTCACTATTTGGTCTAAGAGTTCGCACTCGCTAGCCCAAGCACTAGATAGGTGAGGCTTCACTGAGAAGGAACATACACAGTAAGAACCTGCTGTGTCGGATATGCCGTGATACTGTAGGACCGCGACTGGGGGAGGGCCCGGCACAGTGGTTCTTTTGTCCTTCTAGAAGAATGCTCGGCCCACATATCGATCGAAATGAATATTGACACCAACGAAGAGCCAAGTTCATGCAACACCATGCCAAGCCCTGTCGTTGACGATATTCCTAGGGTGTCGATCTCGTCGGGACTGCCGCTTGGAGATCGACGTGCATCCACGTCAATCAAGCATGAAAATGTCTTCGTGTTCTTTTCAATGGTCGGTCGTGTTGCATGTGCTGGTGGATCGATGGCGTGCACAGCCATCCCGCGATCTGGATGTCATATGTCAACTAGATTAGATACGCCGCCATTGCAGCAGCATGATCATGGCGCATAATTCCGCAGATAGTCGCAGCGCAGTGAAGAGTATTTTTGGGATGCCCGGACTATGCCATAGGGACAGAGTGACAGTTGAAGAAGATGAGTGAAAAGTGTTGGATGTAAAGAAAAGAAAAGGAAAAAAAGAATTCTCCTGCCGCTCACTCATGTCTCGGAGGGGGTCGGCTACCGGTGCCTGCCCTGATGGGGGCCCCGTTGAGCCCAAACGGCGGGTAGCGGGGCTAACCTATCGCTGTGCCACGGGCGGCTGGGGGTTCGTCCCAAGTGCGCCGGCCCGGCCTGCAGGGGCCGCTCTCTGGCGTCATCTCGCACTCCAATGAGACGAGGGCCGAGCTTCAGATGCTCCACCTCGAGCAAAAACGCCGGGCCAGTTGCCAACTCTACGTCAAAAACCGTTACACTAAACCCTCACAAACCTTGGCCATTTCAACGACTCTCCTCCTTTGTGGCC